GTGTGTGTGTGTGTGTGTGTGTGTGTGTGTGTGTGTGTGTGTGTGTGATCTCCACAGCTGCTGTACAGGCTTGTTTAAAGACCACCCACCATCTCATCTGTAGCTGTGAAAGTACTTTCTCTCAGCGTTGCTCGATGTGTGAAGCCGGACAAATGCTGAACACAAAACTCTCTGAACCCGAAAGCAGTTCTGGGCGTTTTTAGTTTTGGCTCCCGTCACATGTTCCTCTCTGTGGTCTTGATTTTAACTGTAATCTAAAGTCCTGCTTCTCTATAGAAACAGAGCCATCATGACAAGAAGAAGAGAGAACTAGAACATGTCTTTAGTGCAGAATAGCAGTTATGATGTCATCAATCTTAAAAAACGAAAACAATGCAAGTTGAATTTCTTTGATAATTTATCTATATATCCAACATTTGAATAAGTGTCCACAAGTGTTACCAATGGTGGAAAAAAATGGAGGCTCTTGATGTTTTATATATTAAACTAATCACATGTTTCAGCCTCTTCTTCCAGCCTCTCCCCTCTCCTCTCACCTCTCCTCTGCTCTCTCTCCTCTGCTCTCTCTCCTCTGCTCTCTCTCCTCTGCTCTCTCTCCTCTGCTCTCTCTCCTCTGCTCTCTCCTCTCTGCTCTCTCCCCTCTCCTCTCTGCTCTCTCCCCTCTCCTCTCTGCTCTCTCCTGTCTCCTCTCTCCTCTCTGCTCTCTCCTCTCTCCTCTCCTCTCTCCCCTCTCCTCTCTCCTCTCCCCTCTGCTCTCTCCTCTCTGCTCTCTCCTCTCTGCTCTCTGCTCTCTGCTCTCTGCTCTCTCCTCTCCTCTCTGCTCTCTCCTCTCCCCTCTGCTCTCTGCTCTCTGCTCTCTCTGCTCTCTCCTGTCTCCTCTCTCCTCTCTGCTCTCTGCTCTCTCCTCTCCTCTCTCCTCTCCCCTCTGCTCTCTCCTCTCCTCTCCCCTCTGCTCTCTGCTCTCTCCTCTCCTCCTCTCATCTCTGTGTTCACTTCCTGTAGTTCAGTCAGTGTCTCCTCCTTGTTGTCACATGACTGTTGGTCTCAGATGAATCAATCATGACTTCATAGTTTCTCTGAGGAGCTCACAGTTTAATGTTCTTTACAGAATCTGGTTAAAATAAACGGTTTATTAGAGGAGACATTTTAAATGAGAACAGAATAAAATGTTTTTGATGAAATATCACAATTGTAAGCTTGGGTTCGGGTTTTTCTTACTGAAGCGTTTGTCACACATGATGTGTTCAATGACCGTCGGAAAGATGAAAATCTAACAATGATGACGTTTTTCTTAAACCTTCTGGCTGTGATTCAGTGTAGTTTTGGGGTCTCCGGTGGGTTTTGGGGTTCAGAGGGTTAAACAGATTGCTGGGCTGAGTTCACTGTGAATTATTTAAAGTCTCTTTATTGCCTTTCAGAGCACAAAGTTATTATTGTGGGCCTGGACAATGCTGGCAAGACCACAATTCTATACCAGTTGTGAGTATCCAAACATAGCACTCTCAGTCAGCTCGCAGGTTTATCCATCCATAATATGTCTAATAAATGGATCATTTGATGAATGTTTTCTCTCCCCCTCTCCTGTATGTTCTAGTTCAATGAATGAGGTGGTGCACACCTCTCCTACCATCGGGAGCAACGTGGAGGAGATCGTGGTCAACAACACTCATTTCCTGATGTGGGACATCGGGGGCCAGGAGTCCCTCCGGTCATCGTGGAACACGTACTACACAAACACAGAGGTACACAACAGGTTGTAGTGAACACGTACTACACAAACACAGAGGTACACAACAGGTTATGGTG